GGCATCAGTAGAACCGGCGAGGTCGACACGGGCAGAGACTCCACGGACGGTTCTGGGGGAGTCCCGGCGGAGGCAACTGCGGCGCCCCACCCGTCACCGGAGGCGATGGCCGCACCGTACGACGGCGACCCATCGTCCGGGAGGGGGTCGTACCAGTTGTCGGCCTCCGCCGACGTACCATCCCAATGCCGCATCCTCAAGGAGCAGCCGCGGGCCCAACTGTACCACACGAAGTCTCCGCGCTCTGGAAGAGACCAGTCCAACCGTTCGGAAAAATGGAGGATGGCCTCTGCGCCAACTGGGTCGAACGACGTCCCCTCGAGGATGGCGGCCACCCCGACCGATCGGATGAGCTGCCGAAGCCCCGCCGACAACCGGAAGAGAGAGCCTCGCTCGCCGGGTTCGTTCCCGTTCCGGCTCGCCAGGCGAGGGTCCGGACACCTTGTGAAGAACGGGAGGCCGTCCCGTGCGGCGTGTAAGAAACACAGCAACGCCAGGACGGCCCACTCCGAGAGCAGGATGGCGTCGATCAGTCGACGCATCCCGGGCGTCGCCTCTCGCCCGAAGGAACCGTCCGGCATCCACCGCGCTGCGGCATACGCCAGCACGCTGGGGGTGGGTACGCAGAGGTACTGTGGAGTTTCCAGATTGCTCCAACCGTCCGGTAAGGCTGGGTATAGCCGCCCCCGAGCGCCCGTGGGCACGGCGAAGAATTCCGTCGTGTGCCACATGTGGAAGTAGGCATCGGCGCGGCGACACCGCAGCCGGCTCTCCTTGGCGGAATTCTCGCCCCACCGCACACGGTCGGCCACACTGTACCACCGGTCGAACGGGCGGGGGAATGCCACCAACTGCACGTGGGGCTTAGGATCCACGTCCCCGCCGAACCTCTCGAAGAGGTCGAACAACCGCGAATGGTACTGGTCCTCACCCGCACAGCGGATGTACAGAAGTTCCGAACGGGAATCCGCCATTACGCGATGGGGCACGTGGACCCAGCGGGTCCTCCAAGCGGCCGAGCGAGTGTCTTGGCGGATTCGTCCGCGAGGGGAGGGCGTGTGGATACCCCGCCGCCTGGGGATGGCCCCAAACGGAGCGGCATCGGGGAAGGCCGTTCTGATGTAAGCCTCGGCGGACCTCGGCGGCTGCGCCTGTGAGGGGTTGCGACCACCCCGGAGAATCCGGTGGTCTAAGTCGGCCCCGGGCAACAAACTCCGAACGGCACGAACACCCGTCCGGAGCCAGCCGGATAGCGGCGCCTCTGTCGCCGGGGGCGTGGTCGCGTACGGGTCCGGCGGTACCGGGCGGTCACCCGCCCCGGCCGCCGTCTGCCCCGTGGCTACAACCCAGTCGGGGGACCGTCTCAGTACGGTCGTCTCGCCGACTTGGGGAGCCGGGGCTGAGCGCAGAGGGCGCGGCAGTGGACCCTGGACGGCAAGAGGGCCGCGCGAGGGAAGAACCCCCGCGCCCGAAGCCCGCACCCGCGGGGCTGCGGTGCTCGCCGCGGGTTGACCCACGGGGCCCGCCGCCAGCGCCGGGTGAAAGGTAGGGACCGGCGCGGCTGGCGCCGTAGGGAGCTGAGCCCGAGGGGGGTGACCCCGCTCGGATGATCGGTTGTCCATGCGGGATGAGGACAGGGGGATGAGACGAGATGTGGAAGTGGAGATAGTGGGGTGCGTGGTGTGGGGTGATGTGGGAGAAAAGGAAAGCGTGAGGGGACCCATTGCCGCCCCAGGGGATCCGACGCGGTTAAATACCAAAAACTCCATAGGCTCCCCTATGGAGTCGGCCGTAGTCCGCCCGCACCCCCGTGGTCGGCGCGGGCTTCTCCGTACGGATGGGACACTCTGCAAGCCGGTCATGTCAACCACCAGCCGCGACGGGGACGTGTCGCGAAGTAAGGAAGGGGGTCTGTGATACAATTCCACACCGCGACCCCCGGTGGGAGATGAGAACCGTCGAGACGAGCGGTTACTACTGTAGTAATCGTGCACGCGCCCTCTGAAAGCACAGTAGTACCTCCACGGCGTACACGTGGCACAAACGTTGGCGCCGGTCGTGGCCACAGGCACACGTGTGCGACCCGTCCGGTAAGTAATTAGCAATTAGTGGTTAATGGTACAAATTAGCCAATTTAGTACAGTAGCTGGTATACAGTATGTAACAGCTACGGTAGCGGGACAGGTGTCCTGACGTCCCACTTAGGGGTTAAGACCGGGGGCACCTGCCCCGTTCCAGTAAACGGGGGCAAACTCGCCTCCCTTCCCTTTACGGCTTTTTGCTAACTCCGTCCGGTTTTACCTCTAAGTCTCAGGCTTCTAACCCGTGACCGGCTGTGTGGTTATAGCACCTCCACTCAGCTGCGCGTCACCGGCCACGTGTGCCTTCCCTCTTTACGAGTTCTTCCGATCGGTCCGCGCTCGCGTGGGTACCCCGCGCCGCGCGCTCCCTCACACTAATCCCCCCTCGTTTCCGAGTGGTCGGGACGTGGGTAGTTACACCACAGATCTTCTCAAAACGCCAGAGTTGTTCAGAGACATCAACTCTTTCAGGCCAAGTGCGAACGATGTACAGTCGTTGGCAGACTTTGTTTACGATGCCTGCTTTGATGTACTGGCGTATGCCGATGAGATCGACAGGGGGTCCGGTAATTGTCTGCAATCTGATGAGCTTCTTCAAGCTGGGCACACGATCACGACTGGAGCTGAGATCCAGCAGTTGGCTTGTGCAGCGAAACATCGCAAGCGGCATTGGTTGAGGTTCTTGAACAGCGGGGATGGTGAGAGGCTGCGCCGCTCCGCGGGACATCAAGGGAGGCAAAGGGCAGAAGCAAAATACTGGGGACTTTGTGGGAATAATTCGCGCCAGGCGGAGCTCCGATCGGGTGAAAGTCAGACACCAATGTTGCGTGGGCATCGCTCAGTATTTTGCTGTCACTTATGCCACGTTCATCTATGTAAGAATGTGTACGACAACTACAGAATGAGCTGCTTTGATAAGTGGCACACAGCGAAAACGCTTCAGATCCGGGTCATGAAACAGCCGCGGAGCAAATCCGTAGTACCCCAGCCTATACGTTCCGTGTCCACCCCGGGTCAAGATCCTGCTCTGCATGGCATCAACATGCAAACTCGCAGAGTTATTGCTGACCGTTCCCCTCGAGACCCAAGCCTGGCAAGAAACACTCTGGCGGGAGCTCTCAGCTCCGACGATAGGAACGCAGTGGTGCCATGTGCTGCGATCGCGCCTCTTGGAAAAACTGTGCAGACCGAGCGCGGAAGTTGACACAGTGCGCACCGTGATACATTGCCCGTGACCTTCACGAGATATCACCGCCACTCGCTCGCTGCCCCTTCAGCCGCGTCGAGTGATGCGCAAGGTCGACCTCCGAGGCCCTCGACTCGAGCGAAGCGCTCGCAAGACAAAGACACGAGGACCACGTCGGCAGCCTCAAAGCGGAGGAGAGCTCATGCAACAGCCTGACCGCTAACAACATTCAGTAGGCCCTTGTGCAGTTTGAAATCGACCCACTCGCTCTTCTTCTCTGTGTCCTCCTTTGCGCCTTCCTCCCCCCATGCTCTTCCCCGATAAAACCACACACCTTCTCCCTACAAACCCCCGTCCCCTCGCTCTTTACCTCCTAGCAGCTTGACAACTAACACGCAGTCACAAAGTCGCATCTCCGCGACGTAAACGAACGTGGCAAGTGAGCACTGGCGGGCACTGAACGTGCGCATCGCGGCCGCGACCGGTAGTCCGGCTGCTGTCGCAAGCTTCGGACGCGCCTCGCAGCGGGCGTCCGCACGGCCGGCGCATCCATAAATGCACGCGCGGACTCCGGCCGTCATGGACGCGATCGCTCATCCAGCGTTGCCATTGCTGCGGTGCGCGTGCTCTGTGATCCCAGCGACTACTTCACCGCCCAAAGCACAGCTTCAATGGCACGGCTGAGCAGTGCTTGGCTCCGTTGTCCGAAATATGTAGCAAAATCACCTCAAAGGGCCGCTTTTGAGCCCTTGTGATCACTGTAGTGAACATGTGTGTGTGATCACTACAGTGGACTTAGCCCAAAATGAGCGGTCCCCAGGTGTCACTTGGGAAGCATCGCGAAACCGTGAGACTTGGCTGATTTCTGCCAACCCTTTTCGAGTCGACTCGTCTGATTAGCCGTTATCGACATGCATTTTGATAGCTCGAAACACTGGGTAAAAAGTGAGCTACAAAGCGTGAAAATTAATGATCACTGTAGTGATCATTAAAAATGAACGCTAGGGGTATTGAATCGTCGCTTTTTCAAACAGTCTACTGGAAGCGGAATGAGAATGAGGCAACCAATGGGAGTAGAGCGCGTTTCAGGCGAGAAGCGGTTTTGAATTTATTTACAGTACTCGTCGTCGCGCTGCCTTCATATCATCGCGCCCTTATTACACGTGTAGCTTCCGACATGTACATATAATGCTGTAAGTATTACTATAAGTATGGCGTCTATATATATATTATCATACGCATACACGTGTCCCGTGTCGTTTAGTTCATGACACATGTACAACGTGTAGATACGTGTATCTACACACATACTGTAGACAAAACTCTCTCCTGATCCGCTGCCATAGATGTCGGGAAGCTCCGCTAGACAGATCGTCGAGCCGAGCATCCTCTCCGGCCCCGACGTGCGTTGCCGCCGCTCTTGGCGCTCACTACAACGTGAGAGGGGCATGGCCGCAAGAGAACTGGCATTTACCCTTTGATCAAACGCCTGCACTGCGCAACGATGCAGGCCGCTGTGTGATGCGTTGATCCGCCAAGGACCCTTCCTAGGGAGCTTTCGCGATGCACGGGAGGCTGCTTTCTGCGCACCCGGCGCGTCCAAACTCAATGCCTGCCCCTCGACCGAAAATTTATCCAAAACCCTGTGGCTGCTTTGAGAGTGTGCCTACGATATGAGATGGAAGAATCTCCCACTTTTTCGGGCGGAGTCAATACGCATTGAGCGTGCAAGATGCTGAAAAAGCGCTCGAAAGCATAATTTATGGATATGGTCGGTCGATACTAGAAAGCCCAGGGCTCTCTATCAGTGTCGTACTGCTACATGCTTTACCGTCGCAATGGATATCTCGTGAACGATTGCCAGTTCTATTGAAGTCATCCAAGAAGCACACCATGATCAACGAATACGGCTAACATCCGAAGTCTCCACGTAAGAGTCAAAGAAATATCCGACCTCAATCTCCTGCGTGACCAGCCTTTCCGTGGGGAGCTCCTTGGCTCTGAGCACCCCATTAACATCGTATGCCCAAAAGTGATGGTCGTTATGCGTGGGGTTGTAGTTGCACGCCACCAACCCGCCAACCGTCGCCAAGTAAGTCACCCTGACCTTCATCGCTCCCCGGGATGCTCGGATCGTTGCAAACACCGCCTCTCCCGGCTCGAGCTCCACAGAAGCGCCCGACGTCAGCCCGACCACGATCGTCTGCGACTCCTCGCCGGACTCGCCCCACCCCCTCGAGAACCCGAAGCTCGTCTCGACCCCGCCGCCAGTACCCTGGAACTCCACCTCGTAATTCATCGTCTGCGTGAACGTGAACGACCCAGAGTTGCTCCAGCTCGTGCTCACCGTGTTGCGCACTTCCTGGTTGGCCGAAGCGTCAAATGTCGCCGTCTGCGACGACGTGTTGTTGAACGGCACCTCGGCCACGATCACAGGTTCCACGCTTTGGTCAATCACTTCGGCGCTGACCGGCCGGATCGTTGTCGTCACTTGTGGCCAACTGTATTTCGTGTACAGGTCGTCCCAAGGGGTCGGGCTGCGCACAAAGGCGTCGTTGGGCTCGCGGCCCGCATAGGCCCCCACAGCGGCTTTGAGGTCGTCACCGGCCAGGCCAAAGGTTCCAAGCTCCGTGTCTGAGATGACGTGCACTTCCGAGCCGTAAGCCGTAGCGGAGCCGGTGCTACCAGCGATGATGTTGACCCCGTTTTCAGAACTTTGGCGCGTGGAGAGCGCCCATGAAGGGGCGGTCGCAGGCTTGGCTACGGTGTCAACGAGTTGGGGCGAAGGACTGGCGAGAGTAAGGACAGTAAGGAGCAGCGGGACCAGGAGCGAGAGAAGTATTCTCTGGGACATGGTGACGGGGTTGGGTAGGGCAGAAGCACTGGATTGCTTGAGTGCGTGGGTTGGTGCGTGGGTTGGAGGTGTGCGCTTGGTTGTGAATGTGATGGATTCTACTTTCTTCCGAAGAACATCTTCTTCTACTGTGCGCCTTTTAAAGGCCGGATGAACTTGTACCTTGTGCTCGGGAAAAGGCAAATGGGACCAAGCCAGGGGTTACAGAGGCACATCACATTCACTCACACCCACACGGACACGCACACGCACACCCACATCTAATGTGCACCCTCATGCGAGCACATTGCGGGTGCAGCAAGCCGCCCCCCTTCCGGCAACAACGCTCCGCAATCTGTGGTGGGAACTCTCGGAAGTAGTCTGCCGCCAAATCCCCCACGCGCGCAAAAGAAAAAGAAAAGCGGGGCGCCGATCTTCACTACGGCCGGCAACCGCAACAAGTCTGTCACTCGTTTCAAACGCATTGTGGAAACTAAGCAGGGGCGGATAGAAAACCGCACGCGATTAAAACAGGTTGCTCGTAGAAACGAAAATCGCCCCCTGTCCATTGGCGATATTCATTAGTACGGCGATGACATCGACAAGCCGGAGCTTGCTGCAGCGAGTACTTGCCCTTGCTTTACCTTTCTGCGTTCTGCATCGCCGTCTGTATTGTTGACTCATTTACACACACGCACTTCATGCCCTGGATTATGATACAGAGGACAGCACCATCTGTGGTGGCACAATCCGCGGAGAGTTCGGCGACCGCCGTGGCACCTAGTCGAAGAATGCAACCTTGTATCTGATGGTCAAACTGCGCAATGCCGCCCATGCGTTGTTACCGAACAGTGCCTCAGCGCGTAGTTCATGAGATGGATAGGTACTGATATGCCAAGGTGATCGAACATCAGGAGTGGTCTCTAGGAGTTTTCCAGGCTGGTAATTTGGAAATTTGGAAATTTTTCCTACGTCAGAGAGCCGCGACGTTTCTGTGCGGGAAGGGGAACCGAGACTCATCGCTGCTGTAGCGCCTTTCACATATCTGTATGACGGCTTTTTTCCGTAAACCAACAAGTCAAGCAGAGGGATGGCACAGCCCATGGACAGCGTTCTGTCAACAACACCGGCCTCCAGCCGGCCTTCAAATAGCAAGAATAGTTCCTTCCGACCCATGCCGAAGCAATTTCCTGCGCACAGGAGCTGGTTGGGACGCCTTAGAACGGCAGCGAGGTTTGAGCCCGGCGTGGGTTGCACGAGTTAGAGGGAGGGGGGGTCTCTGAACCCGCCGATAGCATTACGAGCTGGCTATGGATAGATGAGAAGAAGTGTTAGCGGCAGCGGCTGATGACGGCCATAACAAGTGGAAGGAAGATTAGCGTGTAGCTGGCATGTAGTGGATTATTGCGAACTGGGAAAAGGTGGCGTGCGTTACTGGTATTGTTGTGCGTCAATGACAGCATCAGCAGATATGAGGCTTGTGCTTGCGGGGTTTCGACCAAGGCCACTGCGAGGATGTGGAGCGAAAGAGATCGGAAGCATTGTTACGACGAGGGATATCGGGAAGCATTGTTACGGTGAGGGATATCGTCAGGTGATGGTGTTTTCATTTTCTCTGTGGCTGCCAAGCCTGATCAGCTGTTGACAGAAACCGCTCGAGCCGCGACTTAGTTTAAGTTGGGTAAGAGGAAAAGAAGATGAGAGTGAAGCACTACATAAGCCTCAACAAACCCTCGTCATCCTCCTCACTTCCACTCTCACTCTCTCAAGCATCCTTCCCCCAATAGCGCTTCCCACAAACACAACAAAAATGTCAGTTCGACCGCTCTTCGCTCTCCTGTCTCTGTTTGCCCTGGTATTTCTCGCTGAAGCCCTCTCTGCGGTTCAGACGTCCTCCGATCTGACCAAAACCTCCGGCCGCCAGGACGGGGGAACTGAAGTCTCGATCACTGCTTCCGGAGATGATGGCACACCCAGCAGCGCCTCCGCCTTCGGCAGCGAGATTCACGTCATCTCGGACACTGAGATTGCCACTTTCGGGCTAGGCGAGGTGTCGCTCAAGCAAGCTGTCGGTGCGTACAAAGGACGGGAGCCCAATGACGCGTATTTGCGGAGCCCGACCCCGTGGGATGATTTGTACACAACGTACGACTGGCAGCAGGTGACGACGACGATACAGCCGGTCAGTGCCGAGGTGATTGAAAAAACGGTCGAACCTGTGATTGTTTCGACGACGCCGTTTAACAATACGTCGTCGCAGACGGCCACATTTGATGTCTCCGCAAGGCAAGAGGTGAGGAACACAGTAACATCCAGTTGGGAGCAGTCTGGGTCGGTGACGTTTGGACAGACGATCAAGTACGAAGTAAAATTTGAGGGCATCGGCGGCGTCGGAGGGTCGACAAGCCTGTCGTTTGAATCCGGTTGGGGAGAGGGCGGGTCTGAGGCGCAGACGATTGTGGTCGGGTTGAGTTCCGGTGTGCAGGTTGAACTGGAGCCCGGGGAGTATGTGTTCTCGACTATCCGGGCTTCACGCGGGACTATGAAAGTGAGGGTGGCTTACCGTGCAACGCTAAGCGGATATGTGGCGTGCAACTACAACCCAACATTCGAGGACCATCACTTTTGGGCATATGGAGTGAACAGCGTGCTTGCAGCCGAGCAACGGTCAACAGAGGTGATCGTGGAAGAAATTTTGGACGTCGGGTTTTACTTCAACTCATATGTAGAAACTTCTGACGTGCAGCACACTGCCTAGGTGAATAACCAGAGACGCAATATATTAAACGGACAGCACAATGGTTGTCGTATCGTATATTTGATCCTTCGCGCCTCCGTAATGTGTTGTGCTTGTCAACAAATCGGTTGCAACTCAATAAGGATCTACAGAATACGTTCTTCAGGAAAAGACACGTAGCCAACGAATAATAACGGTGTTTCTCCTCGGCCAGAGCAAGTAAATTGGTGCGGTTCGTCAAAGGAGACCGGATCTTCACCATTTAGGGGAGGGAGCTGTGGGACACTTTGTCCACCAGCGCAGTACTATCTCTGTGCAAATGCGTGTTTGTAATACGTGTCGGACCCGATTGCAACATGCTGCTGGGGCTCACGATCCAGGAGTGTTCGCTTGAAACTACCATAGACGCCGGGCATTCGCCGCAGTTTCGCAGGTGCTGCACTGAAGCTTGCTTTCGGAATCAATACCTTGCACATCACCTCGGAAGCCCTTTCTGTCCCCCACACCCGACAAGAGCCCGTTTTCTACCCTCATGACAGTCCGCTTTATAGAGCATGTCACACCATCCAGTTGTTTCCATAGAATATACTTCCGGCATTGATGCACGAATGTATCACCGACCACCCCTATGAAAGCGATTAAGGAACTTAGGAATAACAAGTAATCCAAAGGTTGCGCTAGGTGTTTTGCATCAACTGGAGGACGACACCTTTATCAAACAAACAGAAAACTGCCATTAAAAGAGAATCTAGTTTACCCTGTCATAAGAGTGCCTCGCGAGGGGAATAGAACCATCCTACCCATTTACATTTGGAAAACCTGCCCGCCGCCTACTCCATTAGTTATCAACCTCTTAGAGCATCCCCAGCGGCATGAGCAAAGAGTTAAAAGATAAAATTTTAGCTTTTACACCCTGGTGAATCCGCTCCACCGGGGAGTCAAAAGGTAAAATTATTTAGCCCGGGGGTATTTCCAGGGTGCAAATCGGTCGGTTTTACACCTCGAAAATAGCCCAAGCCAAAAGTCCACGACACAAGTGCGAAGCAGTTATTGGTTTCTGGTCGCGGGAATCTGCTCGTACAGTACCCTTCCCGTTCTCCTACATGTTTCGCTCGCGTATTGCCGCGCTCCCCTCTCCAACCTGCGCCTCTCCTTCTGCATCGATCGCAAGGTACATGCGATCTTGCCCAACCAACACCCTGTTTATGCGCTCCCTTTCGCACACCGCTCTCCCAGGTGCAGAACATGCTCCCACCAACCCACCCAATCATTGCCTCTCCCATCTCGAGCCCCGTTCCCATCACAATAATGGCCGGTACAGAGCAGCCGAAATCCAGAGGATTTAACTATTCCTCCAATGAAGACTGCTCCATTTGAGTGCGTCTCTGCATTTAGCTCTGGCAACACCGGTGGAGTGTGTTGATGTCGGAGCTAAAATGCCAAATGTGAGCAAATGCACCTGGGCATGCGCACCAGTATTTGAATGACAAGTGTTGAAAATATTTAGCTCTTTGCTCATTTATTCTCCAACCGATGGGGATGCTCTTAGAAGCGGCAAAATGTGAAGCCGAAGAAGGTCGTAAGTGAACCACCGCTGGAAATACAGCAGCCGTCAGAGATCTGCTGATTCGTCTGACTCGGGTTGGGGTTGCGATTCGCCCTGAAGCCATTGTCGAGGCACGTGAAAATGTGCGGCCGGGGCAGACGAGCTGGAGGAAGAAGTGGAGCTGTTACTTCCTTCGCAAGAACAGGAGGCCGAAATGCTCATGGCGGTGACAGAACTTGTATATGAGCATTCAGTTCCTTGGCGAATAATTTTGGCTAGTTCGGTGGCCTTTTCGGTCGTCAAGACAGCGGCGTTGATGGCGGAGAAATTGCACATAATGAGGGCGAAGAAGATAGCGAGGCGGTTCATTTTTGGTGTCTTTGGGTTGGGAGGTTGGAGCGAAGGCAAGAAAGTTGGGAGAACAGGAGGTGGATGAGGTGCGATAGTGAGTGTGAGAAGGTGCAGGCCAAAGGCCCTGTTTAAATAGAGCTGATAGAGTTGGCGCTTAAGCTCCTTTGGCAAAGTTCACTGAGAATGTAGCAGGATTTGATTACGCAGGTAAGCAGCTGAGACGAGTTCAGATCCAAGGAGCCACGTTGGAGAATCTCGGTCGCATAAGGTGATCATTATCGTGCAGGATTACGCTAACATAATTCACACTTAAAAGACCCAACTACAAGAACCCTACAATAACTCTCTCGTTCAAGCGCTGTTTGATGAAAGCACCCGCTAGAGCGAGTTTCTGTTGCTAGTCTAGAATCGCATTTCCTCACGTCAAGATGACTTGAAAACAGATTGAATGCGAGAGAAATGCTTTTGCCCTTGACGTCATCTGCATTGAAGATAGATCCCGATGACACTTGGGGTTACCGCAGTACATCGTGGTTTGGACGAGATTTCCGCAACCGAACTTGTGCTTTTTACGATTCAGGTTTAAGTACAAAGCAGGTTTCGTTGCTGCCCTAATCAGTATTTTGTGATGCGTGGTGTTTATGTATGAAACAGCCATGAGAGTTGGTTGGTTCGGTAGTTCGGTTGAGACACCAGGCATAAGAAAGGAGCTTCGTATGTCGTATATGCGAGCTTCAGTACTGTTTCTCTAGAGAATTCTCTAGCTACCGCTCTCGAGAGGTAGAGAGAAACAGTACACCCGGGGACGGTATTTAGTGTCACTGATACCATTTCCGTTATGGAAATATCGACCCCTAAACATATATTAATGTCAGTGATACTATTTCCGTACTTACACTATTTCAGAGAAAACGGTATTACTGTCACTGATATTG